AACACGCAACACCGCCCACTCGCTCCTCTCACGACCCACTTGGCGAACTCCTTCCTACGAATCACGACCCCACACCCGCTTCCATTCCCTTTCCGCGGAGGCCAGGTGCTGTCCAACGATGTCACCTGTCTCTGATCCTGATCATCCGGGAATCCCTTCCGGCCCCATTGAACCTAAGGATGCGTGCTTCGAGGTACATGGAGCAAGCCGTCCCCCCCCCCGCCCCCCCCCCGCCACCCCGCCGGGGTGGATAAAAGATACATTAGCGAAACAAATGGAGCGTGCTCGTTCTTCCGCGAGAGGCTGGATGTGCAACACCATCCTCCCAGCAGTGCGCTCTGCATGGGGCCAGGAGTATGGGGACCGGTGTGTAATTGTACGCGTGCAGGCAACCCTCGTGCACTTTATTCCACGTGGTTATCGTCAGCCCTAATGTCTATCCCGCGGCTAAATATATAACCGTGCGTAATGATGTATCATTTCAAATCGTAAAGCGCCGCGCATTTATGCACTCACTCTTCAAGGCGCGGGGAGCCGCACAACGAGCGGGGAATGCGACAGCCGGGGGGGGCGGTGGGCTGGCATCAACAATCGCCCAAGCTCTGCGGTCCTCTATATGTATTAAAATGTTTTCAGTCAATGAGTTTTCAGTTGAACGTGTGGGAAAAAAACCGCGAGCACGCAGAGAAAACCGCCACGCGCGTACGGGGCGGGTACCCACGATCCCATCATCGCTCTACTGCCGTCTACTGGCGAGCCAGGGTATGGGCACATCGATGGCAACGCAGAAGATCCCCCGGGGTTTTGATCCTCCACGAAACGGATGGTCCACCCTAAACCGCATCCGCTGCACAAACCGTGGCAGTAGATGCGGATAGCCTGATGCGCAAATGGAAACTTAAAAACTCTCCAGTAGCAGTGTGCGACTGTGGTCATCCAGGACAGACCGTACGGCGTGTGACGACGCAATGCCCCGATGTCCACCAATACGAAGGAGACATCACAGCGATACACAGCGCTGCTCCCGACGGGGTTATCTGGCTTGACCACGTGAATGTGTCATTTGTAGTTGATTCTTTGCATCTACATCATCAGCCGTACGAAAGAAAAGTACCCCAATCAATGCCAACGGGTAAGGAATATTTACGGCATTTGTGTGATACGCCAACCCTCGCATCCACAGTGCTGCATTAGAGACCACGTGCATAGTTCACCACTTCCCGGCTAACTGCTTCCCCATGCCACTACCATTCCTCGTGGTCGTTTTACGACGGATGCCTCAATCCATCTCGCTCCTGCACCATGGGTAGACTTTCTCATTCCTCCACCTCTCGGCCGCCCACCCAGCCTCTCCCACTACCGGCCACCACCCAGCCATTGGCTGCCATTCCTTGTTTTATTTGTTACCGGCTAAAATGCCCCACTGAGCTACGTGGGTCGTTTTCAGAAGCGACCTGGCTATCAAAAGTGACAGCTCAACGAAGTGGCTTATGTGGAAATGTACAGCAGCCAAATACAATAAACGCATGTTTTAAAATGTAGAGGGAAAAACTGGAGGGCCCGGAGAAAAATCCACGCGACCACGGGGACAGCATGTAAAATCAAATAAAAATATACATGAGTCGGGATCTGGATTGTAGCCACGACCTCCTGCATACCAGGCGAGGTAGTTAACATCTCCTAGCCACCGCGGCACCCAGTCTGGCCCAGCGGTCATGATCCCTTCAGGCAATGAGACTGGCCCAAAGCCAATTACTTTACTTATTATTTCATATGATTAATTTGCATTTGTTCTCAGACCCACGCGTTTCTCTTCGTGTCTCTCAGTCAGGAAATCTGCATTTACGTTACCGTCACTATTTCTGTAATCTGAACTTCAGAAAACATGTTCTAATTTTGCTGTGAATTTTCAGCAGTTGCAGCTATTGTCATTCCGCTGCTGGACAAAGGCTTTCCAAAGCGGCCACAATCTCTCATTTTAATAATAATCTACCCAGCACCTGTCCCCAAACGGATTTCATCAATCCATCTCCTCGATGGAGTGCTCTGGCACGCTTTCCTATGTGGTCCGTGATTTGATACGTTCATCAATTATTGCCATATTTGTATGTGTATACTCCATGTATGTCATTACTATAATACCGTTGTGTGTGTAATGTATATGGTGTTTTCAGGTTGGGTCTGCACTACAGTTTAATGGCCTTGAAAGGCATTTTTGCAATCGAACAAAAAGCAGATTCAGCGGCTTAATTGAGTGAGGCGAGCCAGTGAAATTTAGCAAAGTGTCACCTCTCCACCCTTATTTAATTAACCCTCATATGAGTGATTAAACCCACGATGCATAATGAATGCAGACAATGTTTAAGTCGCACTGCTCTGCATGAAAGCGAACATTGATTTATCACCGTATGGATTAAAACGTAAAGTTATTGTCTCGGTCAAGGACATGGGGAGCATAGGGTTTGCCGTACGTGGGTGTTCGAAAGATGTTTTTTTTTAGAGGACCCACTATAGCATTTTATTACAATAACAACAAGGTCAGGGTCTGGCTATTCACTTCCACTTCCCCTCGCCATCACGTCCTTCCTTCTGCCAGTTCTCTCAGCGGTTGCACAGCACACCACCTGCAAGCTCTTCTTTCACTCTATCCCTTCCCGTGTTGTTTGTCTTGCGGAATGTAGCCAATGCACACGTGGTGTGTGTGCGTGTGTGGAGCAGTAACGTAGTGGTTTGCATAACGCCGTGTGAAATCCGCAATCCCAATTTGATTCCCGGCAATGACAAACAACCGGTTCACATGAATGCAGTGGCATTTTTCTGAACAGGTTTTGGGACTTCCCAGGGTGTAAACTCAGCCTTGCATAAGTAGTTGGAGCAGTATGAAAAAAAACATCAGCACGAGAGAGACAAAGACGACCGAGGAGCGTGGTTCTGGCCACACCATCCCTTCGTGTGCAATGCCAGCCTTCATTAGTGGCATTGAGTCTATATTTTGCCGTGTTCAGAACAGATGATATAGTTCATATACATCTAGTCTAATAGACAGTGTGTCGTCAGTGGTGCACAAGCACAATTAACAAACAAAGCATTCACATTCGTCAATAACACCGTAGCCTTACAATGCAAATATACCGTATATAAGAGACGACGTTTCAGGCGACGACCCTTTTTCAATGCACATACATTACATTGTGCTATGGACAAGGGACAATGCCGGAAACGTTGACAAAGGTATTTTGAGATTTTAGTTTCACAATTAATCCGCGTTGCAGTTTGCGTGACACAAATATATTGAAATGCAACAGTCCACCAGACCTCTCAGAGGACACCGCTCATCCCCCGGCACGCATTCATATACCCCAGAATTGTACACGCAAATCAGTCGGTGCGCACACATCAAACCGTGCGTGCGAGCTATAAGAGGGACCATAAGTGAGCGGACTGACTTCAATAACTCCGGTTGAAATGACACAAATGCCGTCGCGGCACTGCTATATGTGGGCGCGCGTCTAATTGGGTGAACGCGTGGCATTAGATCGAGAGGCGCAGGAGAGACGCGCGCGTTACGGAACATTTCCAAGTTAAAGGCATCGTTTTCACTGATATGGAAAAAAAAGACAAATGTAAGTGGGGATTGGGCACGAGCAGGCAAGGTCGATAATACCTCCAGAGTGGCAGCGTAATGGAGGTAACGCGCCTCTCAATCTGCGCGCCCTCGGGGACGGAGCCATGAGATCAACTCGCGGTGCTGCAGGAGTGCAAGACCGTTGCGAGATGGAGCGACGGCTTTTGTAGGCGTTCATTCAGCAGTGGCTAGAACACAGCTACTGATAATGATGATGATCATCATCATAATGATGAATAGGCTGTGTCGGGTGCTTCCAATTACAACAACAAACATTGTTACGATGGTTTAAGCGTATGTGAGTTCAAATTCGCATCTGCAGTGTCATGTGAATGTGGAATTACTGCTGCAAGTATGTGGACCAACAAGGGAAAAAGAGCAGCACCCGTCCCTGGCTCGACTGGGCACGCAGACCCAGTGTGGTCGCCGCAGATCTGGCGGCGTCAACGACGAGCAAAAGGAAAGAGGCGAATGCTCGCGAGAAGGCGGCCGACAGCAGAGATGATGGAGCTACGGAGCCCACGTGGCCGTCGCAGCACTCGTGACTAGTGGCGACGGCTTGTGGCGCGATATCCATCCAGAAGTGGATAGAACATAGCCGATGGTAATGATGATGAATGCGTGTTACGTGTGACAGACGGGGGAGGGGAGGGACATTGTTATCCAGCAGTGGATAGGTCATGGCTAATGGTGATTGTGATAGTCAGGGCTGCATTACGGCGTTGAGGCTGTAAGGGCTGCAGCTCTGGCTCTTGTATTATCGGGGAGCCAAAGGAAAGAAAGTCGTACACTGCACTGCTTTATCACGAGTGAAACGCAAAACTGTGCGCGCCTGGCCTGCGTGCACGGGTGATGGGGGATATCACACGAGCACTCTATGATAAATCCTATTCATAATGATCATTATGAATTAAAGCCACAGTGTCAGTGTGAACTACTGCACTGCCACATATGGGTTGGCATTGAACAAAGGTCCGTTCGTTTAAAGTTTGAATCAGCTTTACAGTTCGTAAATCGCATTAAAAATAAATAACACGTAATAACCGTGGCATATAATAACGGAGTATTTGGCATTGGGCAATGGTGGTGGTAGCAGTCGTAAAGGACAGTATTGTAATAGAGGAGCTCCCCAAACTATAACAGCCTTGGGACTCTATCAAACTTAATCTGGCCCTCACGATGATGATGATGATGACTGTAAAAAGTTAAAGGCGCAGCCCTGCAATTTCTTACTGGCGGAAGGGTCTCCACGTAAGACTCTTAGACGGTCAGGGTGTTGTTTTGGCCTACTCTTCTACGCGGGCCAGGCGTCATTGGAAGGAGCGGACGAAGAAAACGACGACAACAACAACAACAAAATCACGGACACACTCACCATCATGGGCAGCCACAGGAACAGCTTGGCGAAGGTTATCAGGAGCGCAAATCTCTTTTGAGCCACGGCCATGCCAACGTAGGGAGTCCTGGCGCAGGCGGCCGCGTTGTTTATGAGTACCGAGTTGGACGCGTCCTTGCTGGAGCTGTCCGTGGTAGCAGCGGCCGGGCCGGTCGACCTGGCCCCTGCCGCCGCCGCAGCAGCAGCAGCCGCCTTACCCTCCACCATCCTCTCGTCGGCCAGCGCAGTCACCGTGCTGTGGTACACGCCCGTGTCCTCGATGGTGTAGTAGTTGGACGTGGCGCTGAGCGACAGCGTGCGCTCTCCGGGACGGCAGAAGAGCTTGTAGAGCGCGGGCAGCGAGAGCGCGGTGAGCGCGCACAGCAGGGCCACGAAGAGCACGCACACGAAGAGGCCGTGCGAGGAAGAGTCCGGCAAAAAGCAGCCCCAAGTCCTGGGCTCGAACCTATCCCAGCCGCACAGAGGCAGCACGCTGAGTAGTAGGGATACCCCCCACGTGCACAGCACGGTCCACAGCGCCTTTCTCCTCGCGGGCGACGACCGCGCCTTGGGAGGCGAGGACAGAGACGAGGATAGAGAGGACGCCGAATAAGCGCCGCCGCCGCCGCCTCCACCTCCACGTCCCTTGGCCGACCTCCTGGGTCCGCACACGTTGTGCAGCACGATCGCCGCCGCCTTGAGGGCTCCGGCGAGGCACACGAACTCGTAGAGGAACCCCGAGAGCGCGCACACGGCGGGAGACACGTCCCCGCCGGACGCGTGCACGTAGAGGAAGAGCGCCGCGGGCAGCGCGCCCAGCAGCTCGTCCACGCAGAGGCACAGCACCAGTGCCTCCAGCACGCCCCGCCGGGGCATCTGCAGCAGCCGCGACACCGAGTAGAGGCTGCCGGCCAGCACGGCGGCCACCAGGAGCAGCGTGGCCGAGAAGAAGAGCAGGCTCACCCCGTGCGCCGCTCCGCGCGGGTCCGCCGCGGTGGAGTTGGAGACGGAGCCGTCGGCTGACGGGAGCGCGGAACGGCACGCGGGCTGGGACATTGTCTTGCCGCTGTCGTTTTCCTCTCTCACGCCTCGCTCATTCTGTCCGTGCTACCCCCTCGCGATCTCTCTCTCTTTCTCTCGCTCTTTCACTCTGTCTCTCCTCGCTTCTGTGTCTCTCGGCTCACTCGCACTGCCTGCCCGGGTGCTTGCTCCCTCCCTCCCTATCTCCCTCGCTCGCTCGCTCGCACTGTGTCTCCCCCACCACGCACTCCCCTCCTATACGAGCGCTCAGTGGGATCGCGTTATTCACGCACCCCTGACGTCAGGGGCGGTGTCCGCTTCTTGATTTGTGTTGTGTGTGTGGGGGGGTAGGGTCGCCTCTGCACTGCATTGGCGCTGTTTATTACGATGTATATATTGTTATCTAGTCCCCTCCCTTCATGTTTAATTTCAACATTATTCGGCGTTGTTCATTCCGCTTTGTTACCATTCGCGTCGGAGGCACGGTGCCTGCTGGGTTAACGGGCTGCCGATATGTTGCGCTTTCGGGAGAAAAAAAATTGTCGGTAAGAGAAACTTGGTCATACCACACGTCTAAGGTTAAGGCTCCTAAGATAATGAGAGCATGTATAGTATTGCTACTGCGCCCGCACACAGGCGAGTTTTCATGCTGCAAAGCTGTTAGTGTTCTGTATTTACTGGGCGCAGCTGCGTCGTTAATCAACAAAGCAATCCACTTATTGTGAATGCATTATGCAGTTCGAGTGGCCGGCGTGTGAACCATAATACCATTATTATTTATGAACCCCAACACGATTTAGCAATAGAAATTGCAAGTACTGTAACCGCCCAGCATGCCTTGCCCGTCTGGGAAATGGCAGAGAAGCCACGTTGTGTTGAACACGTGTGTCACACGGGTCACGAATGCATCTACGTTGAACTTCTTTAGCACCGTACGAACCCAATCTGATCGTGACACACCTGTTCAACTGTGATCGTGACACAGTGTTGAACAGGTGTGTGTCACGAATGCATGTACGTTGAACTTCTTTAGCACCGTACGAACCCAATCTGAGGGCGACACATGAGTTCGACTGTGCGTCACGATCCACGTGGGTTCGTGACACACACAGTGATCGTGACGCAGTGTTGAACACGTGTGTCCCATGAACCCAGCTGGTCCCAGTTCGTGAGATTCAATTGTAAACTCGAGCACAATTATAAATGATAATACAGTAACACAAGCTAAACATTCGGATTATATTGGGCTTATATGCACCCCCGCCAAACGCAGTATGTCAAGAGTTTAATTTAGCTGAATGTTCAAAGATCAATCTTAACCACATTTGCCCTCTGGCAGATTGCATCGCAAGAGATCGAGACCCATCGCGGAGGCCTTCATACAGCAGTAGATTAACCATGGATGCTGATTCGTATAATACAAATAATTACATTCCTTTGCTTGTATTAGATATGATTGCGTTTGGGGAATAAGGTTAGCTGAAATATTAGTCGCCGGTGAAAGTGATGTTTCATTGCTGGCTCAAAATCGTTCTGAATTCAAGTCCGCAACAGCAACTGTGTGTAGAGTATACGGTATGCATGTACACATAGGGTATGTAGCAAACACCCTGCACAAAGGCGCGATACTTGTTAGGAATTAATAGAGCAGCCCAGTTCGTGGCGAGAGAAATGTGATGTTAGTTTGGGTGGACGGAGTTTTTTTCCAAGCGAGGTGACGTAACAATTCACTCTCTCATCGCCGTCCTATTCTATCGTTTTCTCTTTTCACGTCCCGTTTTCTATGTCTTTACCGTCTCTTTTGTATCTATTTTTTTCACACAGTGGTGTTTGCTCATCCGCTTTCGTGTAACATCAGTTCAAGCTTTTACGTAAACAAAAAAAAACGATTCCTACACCCCTAGCGATTGTATGCACGCGCTGTCGTAAACGTGTCCAATCGATACAGCAGCGGCGCTCGCTTGAAAACAACGTCGCGCTCCGACCAAGTTGCTAGGAATCGTCAATAACAACTGCCGTCAAAAATTAACATATAAGCAAGCGACGTTTCAGGCAATGGCTCTTCTTCGTAGCAGAAATATAATCTTGTCACCTATTACGACGACCTTTTTGTTTTGGGTTGGTCGGGGGGCGGTGTTGTTCACGTAAGCCACGAGTTGTTATTTGCACAATCACTGCCAGCGCATATTCACAGAAGAAGCATTGGAGTCGGATCGCGAGTCATTGACGCGGTGGGTGTGAGTGCGCCTTAGCATCATCCTGTTGCTCATGCAGCGCCTGCATTCTATGCGGCGAAGATGAATTGACGCGCGGTGTGTTCTCGGCAGTGTACGAGTTTGCATAGGAACTGGGGACCTATATCTGAAAGAGACGATTATTGCTTCAACGTCTGACAGTTCACCGGCATCCATTCAAGCAAGCCTGACTCTGCCGATGAGACGCCGAGTTGGCAAAACCGGTCCAGAGTTTGCTTGTGCCGAACCGATGCTGCTCGAATTATCGACTGCCAAGAAGGCTGTGGGGAGTGATGTAAAGAATACTTTTAAAAAATGGTATGCTGATCGCAATGCATATTATTTTGCTTTAGCTGCTACTGATCATCTTTGAAGAAGATCCATTGCCAGAAACGTCGCCTGCTACTATATTTTGCCCCCCCTCCCCCGTTTAAAGGCAGTGTTTTTGACGGGTATGTTGAGCGCGTACTTCAGGGGTCGACAATCTGCGGCTCTTCAAGGACTGCTTCGTGACGCGTTATTCACGATGCATTGCGGCTCCTGAAAGATTGAGTTTATAAATATGAATATAAAATGGACGAGTTTGGGGATGGGGGGAGGGCACAGGGGGTAACGCCCACCCCTCCCCCCAAACTGAGCACATACATTCATATGTTTTTAATTAGTTTACAATTAAGATTAAAAATGAATTAATTATATGCACCCGCAATTCCTAATGCGAGGGACAAAGCGCTCCCCCAAAATATCGAAGTCAAACTCCACGCCCACGATTTCTATGAATAACCCGAATTCGAAAGCAAAAAAAGATTCTCATTGTTACTTTGGTTTTGCCGATTCCCTGTTAGAGTGACTAACGATTTGTGGACTCCCGAAACGCCTCGGGATGGCTCCGGCACGCCAGCACGAGGCCGCTCCCTCTCGCCGTGCAGGATGAACGCCACCGCTCGCTACTCACGCGACGCTTTGACGCCGCTTCTGTGTCCGACGGCAGTGAGACGCGTCCCGACCACAGCACCACCCCCCCCCTTTACCAATCCGTTTCACTTATGCCCCCCCCCCCATCCCGTGTGCGTACGTCCACGGCCCGTTTGTCAATCCACTGCTGGATGAGGAGCTCCGTGTGTGTTGATCGTGTCACGTGGCACCGAGTGTTGCGACATAATTGACAGGCGCGCGCGTCTGTGTGTGTGTGTCACTGTGTGTGTGTCATTGTGTGTGTGTCACTGTGTGTGTGTCACTGTGTATGTGTCACTGTGTGTGTGTGCGTTATTTGGGGTGTGGGGAGCGGTAGTGTAGCGGTTAGCGCGCTGCGCTATGAACCTGGCGACCCGGGTTCGATTCCCGCTCACGGCCAAAAACAGTGACGATTATCTGAACCGGTCCTGGGCCTCCCCTAGGTCGACTTAGCCTTAAATGAGTACCTGGTGCGGTGTGTAAACATCGCCAGTGGGGAGATATAGGCAGGTCGGGCGTGGTGCTGGCCACTCACCCCCTCGTGTGCCGTTCCGGCCTTCATAGGTGCTCGCTAAAAGCACTTTCCCCTACAGTTTGTTAAGGCTATACGGGGGATATTTATCTTTGTTAGTTGTGGTGTGCATCCAGAGGGTTGTGTTTGGTTCTTCACAAGACATTGCATCTAACCAAGTGCACTCATTCATGGCGTTTGCAAACCATTCAATATAGTCGCCAATAGCATTGCCCACAATTTATTCATGTAATCATCGGTGTTTTTCTTTTACGCGTATAACAAAGTATTTAATTTAATAGTAGAGTGAGGAGCAGGAAGGCTACCCAAACGCATATCCGCCCTTAAACACATTGCAATCACAAATAATTTAATAAAATAGCAGTTTCACATGCACGCCACAGTAGAACCAACATCTAATCAAGAAACACGTGGGCGTTGTAAACAAAAGTTTTCTGACAACTTGTCATCAGAATCGCCGTCATCATAATCATCATCATCATAAGCCAGTGTGGCGTCCTGCCTTCTCTCTCCAGGGAACTTATGACCCCAAAGTTCAGATATGTAATACATGAAAAAATGCATTGTCTCCGTTATTCAAAACAATAAATAGATTCACTGCGGTGACGTGCCATAGTCTTCCGGTAGAGTCTCATCATATGGCGCGACGCAGCCCGCTTCGCCGTGCTGAATGTCACGATCCACCTCGCTCCTGCACATGAGATGATCTCATCGCTCCATATCCGTGGCGGTTCCCCCTCGGGCGCGTTCACATCTCCTCTGCTTCGGCTGCCATTCCATCGCCAGTGACAACGAACATCTCACTCTCTGATAATTGGTTCTTTACCCTTCTATCTGGCAACAAAACTGACACCTTTTTGCAAGGAGTCATGTTTGCATAGACCGCAATACCTGCAGTCATAATACAAACAAAAGAACATAACTCTGATAATGTGCACTGTCCTTGAAGTTGATTGGTCCACACCCGAGACAGCTTTCCTTCGATCCTAGTCTCATATGGGTTGGACCAGATGACGCCAAAAGGCGCACATCTCACTCTCTCTCGGCGTTAGCGTCGCACTCCACGGGAGGCGAATTACTTGGTTCGATCATGCTGGCAAATCGTTTCTTTCGAGTGCTTAGGAAGAGCCCTGAAGCACTGTCTTCGACATTTAGGGTGACCTTGCAGAATGAGTGAAGTGAACGCTGTGTGACGATATCTGCACAGAGAGAGAGAGAGTTGTACGCTTGGAATTGCACTCGGAGACAGAATCACGAAACGACTTGATTAGAGAAGACGCGCAGGTAAATGATATCGTTCAAGCTGCCCACTCAAATACGCACTATTTATATTACTATTTAAATGTATCCAGGTAAAGGCCCCGCTTAGCGAGATAGATTTTTTTTTCAGAAGCGACTTGGCCACAAATGATAGCTCAACGAAGTGGGTTATCGTCA